CAGAGTTTTTATATGGATTTGGTGAGGTAATTTGTCGTGCCCGGTAAAAACCAGGCACTCGAAAAATGTTGGCTGATGTTAGGTGCTAGGACCTTCGCTGAAGTCACATAAAGAAACAAGGGATGCCTGCTTTTGAAGAGCTCCCACTCCAGCAAAAAGCAGAAATGGACACAGAAAAGCTTCAAAACAGCACAATGTGCTCCATGACAGAGGTTTGTAGGTGAAAGATGCTGTGGGAACGTGGAGGCTAGATCTTGGGAGAGCCAGGGAAGATGGCAGAGAAGATGACATCCAGGTAGGCCTTGAAAGATCAGTAGAAAAAAGCCCGCGGGAGGGAAGGAATGGAAGGTCATTCCAAGGGGGAAGCGCTCCTCTGAAAAGCCACAGAGGACAGAATAGCAGGGGAAGGTTGGAGAAGTAAAATGCACAGTGTGGTTCCAGTTTTACATCTAAAGAGAAGGACGGTGAGAGAGGACGATGGAGGGAGAAGTATGAGCCCATATGTAGAGGGTCTTATGAAAAGGTAGAATTTAATCCTGTTTGTAATAAATAGCTCACAAGGGAGAGCCATGGAGTGTGTTGTATTTGGGGAATATAGCTTGGTACTCTGGCAACCTGTGGGCAACCTCTGGGGAGGAGTTTAAGAGAAGAAAGGAGAACAGGAAAAAATGCTTCCATTTGAGGGTGGGTCCTCTGCCAAGGCGGCGGAGAAATTGTAGGCAATAGCATTTACAGTCCCAAGCACTCTTCTCCCAGAGTCCTCAGTCACCAGGGCCCCAAATGGGATGCTTCTGTTTCCCATGGCAGCCTTGGGGAGAAAGGTAACAGGCAATGATCACTCACTGAGCACCTCTGTATCCCAGGCACTTACTCTCAGAGGCTGAGTACGGAAATCACCATTGGAACACTCCACAGTAATAACTGCTACGAGCAAGTTCATTGATGAACAGTAAAAATCAGTGGGGAAAACATTCAGGAGAAGCAGGATATTTGGATAGCATCTCCACCAAGGTGTTTATTATTTACTCTGATGGTTTTAATGTATGTCCAGAAATGCCTGGATACTCCCTCCTTCAGGAAGATGAAATTTAATTTCTTCCCTCTTGAGTATGGGCTGAACTTAGTGACTTACTTTCAAAGAATAAAGTATAAAAAGGGGAAAACAGAGAAAACTGGCAGACACCACCTTAATCAAGTGATCAAGGTTAACATCACAGGCCGTGTTGAAATCATGTACCTCCTAATATGATATGATGAGAAGGGCACTTCACCTCTCCTGTATTCATAAGCCCAGATTAATCATGAGAAAATGTCAGATGAACCCAAATTCAGGACCATTCTACAAATTACTCAACCAGTCCTCTTCAAAAGTACCAAGGTCATGGAAATCAAAGAAGGCCTAAAAACAGTCGCAGATTGAAGGAGATTAAGGAGACATAACCAGTAAATGCAAAGTATTATCTTGGACATGATCCTAGAATGGGAAAAGGACACTAGTGGGAAAACTGGAGAAATCCAAAGAAAGTCTGTGCTCTGGGTCATAGGTGACCAACTGCTTTGGTTTGCTGGGAACTGAGGGAACCCTGGTGCATGGGACTTGGAGTTTTAAAATCAGGACAACCCCAGTTTCTCTGGAACTGGGGGCTTTTCTGGGATGTGAGGTTTTTGGTGTGAAAAAAAAAATTTTAAACAGGAAAGTTTCAGGCAAACCTGGAAGAGCCGATTACCCTGGTGATACAACACAATCGCACCAAGGGTTACTTCTTAGCTTTGACTAATGTGTCAAGGTGGGTATTGTGAGACGTTGTCATTCGGGGAAGCTGATTGCAGGGTTTACAAGAACACTCCGTACCATCCTTCTAACTCTAACCTAAAATTATTTCAAAATAAAGCAAACAATTGAATTAACAAAAATAAGTGAGGAGGGAATGAAAGGTGAGAAAGAGTGCAAGCATCGTAATATCCTGACTGTTGATGGCAAAAAGGTGACACATGCAGGCAAACCTCGGGAGGGGCTCAGAAATGGAAAAGTCTGGAACCAGACTACCCTCTCTGTCTCTCCTCCCCAGCCCCTTGTCCCCAGCAGCCCTGCTTCGTCCTCTCCCTCGCAGCTCTGCACACTGGTCAGTCCAGCTGTCCACATGGTCGCCCCCACACTCGGCACTCGGCCCACACTCTCTGAGCCCACTGCAGTTTCCAAGGTGAGCAAAGCTGGTTCTTGTGCTCACCTCCCTCCTGCTGTGTGGGTGACACAGCCAAGGCCCCTCAGCACAGTGTGAACAGGTGGGAAAGAGAGCCAGCAAATGGGTCATCAGGGCATTAATGTTTGTATTGGGGAGATGTACAAAAACATACAAATACTGCTAAAGAATAAATAATGTTTGTAGCAAGCACCTTCGTGTCACCTCAATTAAGCAAAGCTGTTTTGTTTAAAAAAAAAAAAACTGTTTTAAACGTATACAACCATTAGTGCTCAAGTCAAAGATCAGCACCTGCCACAGCTCCCAGCCTGGGCCATAGCAGACTCCCAGGAACCGGCCCTGCCAGCCCCTCCTTCCCAGCCACCAGACCTTCCTGGTGGCCTCCTCCTTCCTCTCTTTTCTTTCCAGTCTTATTGTGATGTAAATTATGTTCCTCTTTGCTGTACTCAGGTCCGCCCTTTTGAGTCTTAAAAGCCTGTTTGGGGAATCAAATAATTGAACATTTGACTTTTTCTTGCTGTTTTTCTCCCTACTTGTCTTTCTTACTTGAAGCCCTTGTACAAGGAAGTGCCGGGGGGACGCACTAGGAGTAATATTTTGAATTATATTGTACAAACCAAATGTGTACCTGAAAAAAAATGTTTAATGTGAGAAAAACCTGCAACAGACCTACATGTTTTAAGGGTGTTTAGGGGTGGTTCCATCTTGGAGAGGAAAAATAAATGCATTTTGTAAGTCCCTGTGACTTCTCTCAGAGGATCATGTCTTTGCCTCTGTTCCTTAATTTTTTCTTTTCCTTTTCAACCAGTCACTGGTTCAGGCCCAATGAGCGTCTGATTCCAGGAAGAGATTTATTACTTTTGGCACACTTAGCAGATTCCATCTTTGACTCTATTGTTTTAAATTTATGAAACCTACACTTTATATCTGCACTTTCATTTTTCCCCATTTTCCCCTCATTATTATAAAACAGGGACAAAATGCCACCAAATGTGTCAGCAGTTGCACACAGGTGCACTGCACAAGATGGTGTGCCGCCGGCCACTGGCAGTGCCATCAGCACCATCCATCAGCTCAGGGGCAGATGTGTGCTACGTTCAATAATGCAAAGTTTTCTTCCCTTTCTTAAGTACTGTATTAGATAAGTTTCACTTTATAAAAGGTTCATGCACTCATTGTAAAAAGTTGCACAATGGAGCTGTATGAAGAAAATGTTAATTCCCCTGCTCTCTCCCCTGCTCTCTCCCCTGCCCCGCAATGCCATACCTGGAGATAGATGTTGCTGCCCAACCAGGTTCATTTGCCCGCTGTGCAGAAAAGAGCCAATGTGCTGAGACAGTCAGGGTTGCAATGGAGAAAGAGTTTCATAATTCTGCATAACGCTAAGCGGGCAGACCGGAGAAAGTTTCTCAAATCTGCCTCTCTGAGAATTTGGGAGACAGGGTTTTTAAGGATAGACAGGGATTAGGTAATCAGGTTTGTTAATTGGGGCAAAATTATAGGGGTGTAGAAATCATCTTCTTGTGTTGCTACAGTCCCTGGGGTCACAATTCCAGTTGAGTCAGTTTCTTGGTATGGCCGCTAGACCTCTACATAGAAATCTAATTAATTTTACCTTATGCACAATATTTCACATTATGGATGTATCATAATTTATTTATCCATTCCTCAAGATGAAACTTCAGATTAATTCTATTTTTGACACCGCCATAAATTTTCTCATATATTTACAGAAATTTAAAAATGGCCCTATTAGCTCTGGAAGAAGAGCCAAAAGTGATTTTACTAAGCCAAAGGAGTTACATATTATTTACATTATTAGGTAGCCCTTATTAATTTCCCAAAGGTCATAGAAATTCATACTCCCACCGTCAATGTTTCAACGTGCTGACTTCTCACTGACATGGGGTGTTGTTATTGCAGGAGCAAAGAGAATTTTCCTCCCCCTCTAGAGGTTAGAGTCTGCTATAATGAACTGACAATAGACAGACTAGCAGGAGAACAGGTGTACAAATGTATTAATGTGCATAAACACAGAAGCCATACAAAAAATGAGACTCAAAGAATGGCTGGATGGTTGAATACCCTCTTCACATGGGAGACGGAAATGGGTGAGGCAGGCAATGGTGAAGGGAGCAAATGATTTTCAGGGGACAGCAATTTATAGGTGATTCTCTTAGGAAACTGATTGGGCTGGCAAGCTATGGAGTTATGGGAAGGTGAGGGTTGGCCCCACACTGTGACAAAGGTTGTTTTATCACACAGATAAAAGTCTCTTATGCAATCTTGGAGCTGCCCTCAGAAGAAAAGATAAAAATCTTCCTGGGCATCGTGAAGACTTGTAGATTTTCCTCCTCTCTGGTAGTTACTCTGTAGGGCAGAGAAAGGGCAGAGGAATTTGTAGGACAGAGGAAGGGCAGAATTTTTCCAATTGTCGGGAATTTACTTGGGTGGGGCAATGAGCTAACCGCAAACCTTTGCTTCTGGTCATTGCTTGCTTGCTACACTGCTGTATGGGGAATTATGGGATGAGGTCATTGAAGCACGGGCGACTGGCCCATCAGGCAATAGAGGGCAACCAACCCGCCAATTATTTCAAAAGGCAATAGTGGGCAACCAATCATTTTAAAGGTCAACGCATGATCCATGCGCAGTCGGCTTGTGCGCAGCTTGTGCACCATGGGGATAAAAGGCATGCTGTAGTTCCGGTCGGGGTCCTTGCCTGCGAGAGTGGCCACTGCGTTGGTGCTCTGGGGCTTGGACCCTGGCTAGCCAGAAAATAAACCTCCTCTTGTGTGACTGCATCCTCGATGTCTCTGCTTTTCTGTCCGGTGGGGCTGTGGAAGGTCGGTCCCTAACAACTCTTTCCTGGTTATTTAATGAGATTCTTAGGGAGAGGTTTAAGATAACTGCATTTCTTTGGAAAAGAAGTTTCCTCGGTCAGATAAGGAAATTCCAGAGAGAGAGCCTCTCCCTGAACCTGGGGAGGGAGAAACAGAGAAGGTTAGAAAGTCCTTGGCTCTGAGGCAGCTCCTGAGGTCTCTCGATCTCTTTTCATTCCAAGTGCTCAGTGTGCCAGAGCGCCCTATCCGGGTATTTTTGTCTGAGCCCCAACATCATCAATTGTTTTAACATTTGCCAACTTAATGAATGAAGAATGGTATCTCATTGTTTTCATTTGCATTTAGTGAGATTAAACATCTCTTCAAATGATAATTAATACTGTGAAGTGTCTGTTTCTATTCTTTGCCTGTTTTTCCCCCCTGTTGGACTGTTTGTCTTTTTCTTACTATATTAGTTTTCTGTTGCTGCCCTAATAAATTACTGGCAGCTGAAACAACACAAACTTATTTTCTTACCGTTGTGGATGTCAGAAGTCCAAAATGGCTCTCAATTGGATGAAAATCAAGGTGACAGCCAGACTGTGTTTCTTTCTGGACATTCTAGGAAACAATCTGCTTTCTTGACTTTTCCAGCTTCTCAAGGACACCCACATTTCTTGGCTTCAGGGTCCTTTCTTCATCTTCAAAGTCAGCAGTGACAGGCCAAGTTCCTCTCATGCTGCCATCTCTCTGGTTTTCTACAGCCCAGAAAGGGTTTTGCTTTTAAGGACACATTAGATGGAGTTCACCGGATTAATCCAGGGTGCACTGCCCATCTCGCCATTTGCAAAGCCCTGTGCATAGGATCGGGGAATTAGGATGTGGGAATCTCTGGGGGTCATGATTCTGTCTACTACACTGATATAAGTATGGAAACACTTTAAAAAAAAATATATGATCCCATTGTTGGCATAAATGTTGCACATATTCTTTAACCCAACATTTCTTCTTCTATATCGTTTATGACTGTGCTCTTTTTAATATGATGTCTGCTCTTTTCAGACTTGCAAATAACTTTCCATTTTACCTTTCTTGAGGCTGTGTACTTGTGAAACAAACAAGTTTCCTGAATTTCCTGATTCAATGTGTAAATAAGAAGCTTGAAGAGCAAAAATCACAATGTAAGTGGAATTCACACCCTCACCAGGTCTCTGGAGAGAAATTTAGGGTAATAATTGGGATGGACCCTGAGAGTGAAGTCATTAGGGTAGGGATGAATGTGAACACCTTCAACTCCCAAATTCTTCTGAGTCATCCTTTGTCAATAGACATCTTCCCTGTTCCCTCAGTTTTGACATGAATAGCTCTGTCCTTCTTAAAGACCCTATAATGAACTTACCTGGGGCCAAGAGGGATCCAGTCTCCAGCCCCCACCACTCCTTCCTGCTTGAAGACCCATAACTAGGATCAGATCTCAGCATAACTTAGGGGTGTGAAAATATGGCATAAAAAGGGGACTAAAACCCTGAATTCCAATAGTTTGCTAATTTATATCAGCAAATACCTAGGGATTATTTATGGAAAGGGATTCTAAGGAAACTAGACCAGGGAAGAAAGAACATAACTGTGATCCCAGATTAAGTTATATATATGGATAACCAGACATTCTGAATCAATATATTAGATAAAGCCATGGTTCTAGTAGATTGCAAGGTTGGTTACCTGAAACTTGGACTCAGTGATGGCCTGTATTAAATGAAGTATAGGTGCTGCGACTTTTTTGATACAATTTTCTTAGAGAAAATAATTCAAAGATTATGGCGATAGGAATGTTGGAGAGGTTTAGCATGTGTCACCTACTCATACAAATCCTAAATATGTCTTCCAGAAGACACAAAGGAACTTCATTTAATGGATGGACATGCTTGAAGTTCTTACTCGAGGGGGGCATCAGCAATATAAGTAACCTTAACACTTGTACCCCCATAATATGCTAAAATAAAAAATAAATAAAGAAAGAAGAAAAAAGAAAGAAAGAAAGAAATCCATTGATTGGAAGCACCAGCACCCCGGTGGAAGCTCTGTGGTGGCTGCCCTCTACTGGCCAGGGGCGGAATTAACCGAGTGGGAACGTCGGGACGCGGCTGCTTCTCAGACTGCGCGTGCGTCAGAGTCGCCTGCCTGGCGGGCTTGCAAAACAGGGCGTGCTTGTTGGGCCGCAGCTTCGAGTTTCTGCCCCTGTAGGTCTGGGTGGGGCCTGGGAATTTGCGCTTCTCACAAGTCCCCAGGGGATGCTGCTGATGTTGACCGAGGGGTCACAGTTTGAGAACCACAGGGCGCTCTCAAAAGGAGCAAATGAAGTAGGGGCCGCGACCGCGCAGGTAGGGAGGTGGGGCGACTCTGGCGGGCAGCAGGGTTACACGTGTCGTCAGAGTGTGTTAGCCCTTGGGGATACTTGTCAGCGGCCGTGAGTCTGAAATAGATTGGCAGACTACCAAAGTCTTATTTTTTCTGTCCAGTTAACCAATAAAAAAAAAAAAAAAAGACAAATCTGGTGACACACAACAAGGATTCCTGGCCTCTCCCCCAATCCCCAGTGTTTTGTCACTTCACAGACGAGGAGCCACTCGACTGAAGAGGATCCGGCTCCCCCGTGGAAGGACACAGGACTCGGCCGCAGGAACCTTCCCGTCGCACCGGCCAGTGGCACCTGTGAGCACCTGGCTGCAGGTGCGCGGAGGCGGAACCGCCCAGGCCCGGCAGGCGTCACTGGATGTTGACCCTAAATTCCCAGGAATTCCCACGGACCCAAAATGCCACTGCAGTTCAACTGTCAGAGTTGGGCTTTTGGAGGACAGGTGATTCATGGAATTTCTGCCTGTGTCCATGAACTCACTCTGCAGATATTTATCCAATTACTGAAGACAAAGTATATGGTCTCAGTTCTCACCATGTGGAGCTCTGCTGGTGAAAAGCTCATAATTACTAAGGAAGAATTTTCGACCAGAGGACACTGGAAGTTGAGGCTCCCACGTGGCAATTTTAAGCTTCACATGCCGCTGAACCAGCAAGCAATAAAGGGAACTAACTGTACAGGCCAGGTTACCTGATCCTGAGTATCAAATGGAGATAGGGTTGCTGTTACCCAATAGGGACAAGGAGAAGAATGTCTGAAATAATGGAGATTATAAACACACACACACACACACACACAACTGCCAACTAAGAATTTTATAGCCAGCATAAAAGTCTTTTATGTCCTTCAAAATAAAGCAAAATGAAGACATTTTTCAGATAATAAGAAACCTAACAGACCTACATTGAAACACTAAACATTTATTTTAGTGTGAAACACTAAAGGAATTATTTAGGCAGAAAAAAATAATTCTAGATGGAATCGTAGATTCCAGAAAGAAACAAAAGCATTGAAAGGAAATTATAGACACACACACGCCCACACAGATCTAAATGAATATTGACTGTATGAAACAACAATATTATGATAACATGGGATTTAAAATATACATGCAATCAAGATAGATGAGAAAAACAGTACAAAAGGGAAGAGTTGCTAAAGTACTTGAAAGCCCTTGAACTACTGAGCTGTAAAAGATAATTTATGTACACATTATAAAGTCAAAGATGCCTTCAATAATCTAAAGTAATCATTTTTTTAAAACTACAGTATAGAAACCATCAAACTAATAGAGAAGAAAGAATGAATAAATGAAAGCTACTTGATGAATCTACAAGAAAGCAAGAAAGGAAAGAGAAAGAAACATAGAACAGGTGGACCAATAGAAAAAAGCAATTAAGATGATAGATTTAAATCAAATATATTAGTAATTATATTAAAATAAATTAAGTACTTTAATTAAAAGGTAAAGTTGTTATATGATTTAAAGTCAACTATTATATGCTTTTATAAGAGACCACCACAATATATAGGATATTGAAAGGATGAAAGTAAAAGAAAAGAAAATGTACCATACAAACACTAATTTTAAAAGCTGGTGTAACGATAGTCATAGCAGCAAATAACTTTGGGATCAAACATATTATTAAGTGAGAATGTGGGTTCTTTCGTAATGATAAAAGAGTCATAGTCAATAAGATTGAAAAGAATCTAAATGGGTATGCACCTAATGCATAGCATCAAAAACATAATTCAAGATTAATAAACCTAAAATGAAAAAAAATAAATGAATCCACAACTTTAGTGTGAGATTTTTAATACACTTCTCTCATAACTGAAAGAGTAGTAAACAAGAATTCAAAAATAAATATGTAACATGTTAGCATATATTACCTAACTGACATATCTACACACTATCCCAAACTGCAAATAAACCATTATTTTCAAGTACACACAGAAATTCACCAATCAGCCATATACTCAATAAGTGATTGAAACTGCCTTTACAAATTAATAAAGGAGTGCAAGGTGAGAATTGCAGTAGGGCCTAAACGTTGCAAAGACACAGCAAAGCTAAAAATAATGATAATAACAAGCATTGTCCCTAGTTTCCTTTCCTATTAATGCTACTCAGGAGTTACATAGCTGATGGTCATAAGATCTTAACTTTCCCCATTGATTACATCACCCTTGTGAACCTAAGCCAGTTTTTGAGATATCTTTCCAGGCCCTGCATTCCTTTGGAACCCAGATCAGTGGCCCGTACCAAGGAATTGATCAATAGTCTTGCAATGACCTCACCCAAGAACCAACTCAACAAAGAAGACAATTCTGCACCCCTATGGCTCCATCCCAAACCAGCCAATTAGTAGACCCAATTGCCTGGACTTTGCCCACCAACTATCTTAAAAACCTTTCTCCCAAATTTTTGGGGAGATGGATTTGAGAAATTCCTCCATCTCCTCGCATGGCACCAGTGATATTTAAAGTCTTTCTCTGCTGTAACCCTGCTGTCTCAGTTGTATGGCTTCCTCTTGAGCAGTGGGCAATGAACCTGGCTGGCAGTAACACAAGTATCAACAATTTTTAAGAGATTAAAATCTCACAGAGTATATCTTAAATATAATGAGTAAGCCAAAATTTGTAACAAAAAAATAAACTAGAAAATTTTCAAATGTTTAGAATTCAACAGTATACTTCCATGTAGTACATAAGTAAAAAAAAGTTAAAAGAAAATCATAAAATACTTGGAACTGATGGGCAATTGGATTCAGTTAAAGCTATGAATAGAAGACGTTTACCACTAAATGCATCCGAGAAAAGACTGAAAATGCAAATATCAAAGGACTAAACATAAAAGTTTAAGAACAAAAAGACAAGAGCCAAAACCAAAACAACAGGCAGCACGGTGGTCAACCGACTAGATAATCCTTACTCCTGGCAAAGACCGGCAGAGAGCGAGAAGACGGCACCAACTCTGCTAACACAAGGATCAGAGAGTTCAAATAACCAAGCCTAAGGAGACAAAGCGAGCGAGACCCGTCTCTATAAATCAAAATGAAATTAAATTCCAAAATAGAACCAATACAAATCACACTCCACTATATACAAATAGCCGAGGAACACCACCAATCAATCAAAACGGATGGAGCCACATCGCACCATGTAGTCCAGACTCTCGGGAACACAGACTAGAGGCAGAAGGAAACACTACACAACAAGAGCCCAATGAGTTGAGGTGTTGGTGCGCATATGCCCACGGCAACATACAAAACTCTAAGCCTGGCAACAACGAGACTCATTCTCAAAAAAAAAAAAAAAAAACAAAATTAAGGAAAAGAAACTTCAGCTTCAAACACCTACACACAAAAGTGAAAGCACCAAATCATACCATACACAAACTAAAAACAGAACTTCCCAATAAAGTGGAAACCCACA